GAGAAAAGTAATGCGAAGTACACTTCTTGGAAAATGTAATTTAATTTTCCGTTCATTTCTGAGACATGGTAAGATTGTGGGAAACGGTTTCAAAGCATTTTGCTTTCCACGAGTTACTTACTTGACTAATAATTTATTTTCAAAGCAACTTAACTTGATTTACTGGAAATAGCAACTCCAGCAATTTCCATTTCTCTAGCAATTTTGATTTAATGTCGTCCGTTCGTAAAAATAAGGCGAATCTGTTTGATCACTTACATAATCTGCGTTAACTGTAGAGTTCGTGAAGTATTTAAAAACTAGTGCTCCTACAAAAACACATACTTTCTTGCATTCTTTCTAAATTTGCCACCTTTTCAAAAATTCGGAGAAGTAAACGAAAAGAGACTTGCATCATTCTTTTAAGCATCCCTAGTTTTTTATTCTTGGAATTTTTTTACAATAAAAGAATTGGAAGGGTAGTTGAGATAATATGTTTTTACAAAGTGCATTAATTTCAAGCAGAAACTACAGAAAAACAACTCAACTTCTTCAAATAATAGTACATGACCTTTCTTAAAGAGGTGATTTTTACTTTCCTGTCCGCATGCGTACATGTATTCAGAGATTCAAAACGGAAATTCACGTTTTGGGGTCCCCGGATACCGTAAAAGTGGTTCTTTTCAAAACGTCTGTCGGTCCGTGAACACCACTAGCGCCTCAACCATGCGTAGGATTTTTTTCAAATTGATAAACTTCTGTCCATCTGGCTTGAGTCGATGCTTTGGGATTTTGAAAAACGTTCTTCAAAATTTGGAGGTACTTACCATGATACCCTCCGGATATTTTCAAAATTTTCACAAAATCTGCTCCAAATTTTTCTTTAAATATCTTGTAAGAATAGAGTAACGTACACTTATTATAAACATGGCATTCGTCCGATTGTCACAGTTAACTCTGAATTTTCGAAAATTTAAAAAGTATGAAATTTTCTCGATGTCTATCTAAAACAAGATTTTTCCTTCAAATAAAATTTTTCAAAGGAATTTCCATTTTGATGAGGTTTTACTGTTTTTTAATAATATTAAAATAATATTTCCGCTCTACAATTAAAAAACCGAAAAATTAAGAAACTGTCAAAAAAAATTTACTTCGGGCGGCGATAGAGGACAGCTGGCAAGAGTAGTAATCCGAGATTAAAGAAAATACAAAACTAATACGGAAAAGTCTGTGCCATTCTGTAGCTCCACTAGTTTAGATGCCTTTTATTTCACACAAAATTATGCAAGAACTGCTCATATTTTTGAAAAATAAATTATGATCTTATTTCAAGATCTGTCTTTAAAAAACAAATTTTATTGAGGGAAAGACCTGTCTTTAATACTAAAGTTGTAGGAAGAAGCCGAAAAAATGTTAGTTTTTACAATTTTCAAAAAATCGGGGATATTATCGTTGCACCATTCTCGCACGTTTGGCACAATTCTCTAAAGCGCCCCTAAAGCATTGAATCATTGAGTCATTTTTGAGAAAATTTTGAAAATGCTGAGGATTCGTATAAAAAAATTAGAATACCCGTTTGAAACGCATTAATCCTTGAGTTCATTAAGATTAATTGGGAAATATTAATTTTCGAGAAAAGCGGCAGTCCGGTTGAGGTGCTAACGTTGACCATTGGTCGACAGACAGATGGATGGGCACACCGGCCATGGATTTACCGCCAATGGATTTTTCGTTATCAAGAAGCCACAAAAGTCTGACGACTCAACGTGTCAGAGGAAGTAATTTATTGTATGTAGGAGCAATATTTATTCTCTTTTTCGATTCCAGGGCCCGACAATACGTTTTTCTGTCGAAAATCTGCCTTTTTCCGGCGCACAATCATCATACTGTTTTGAGGTCTTACGAAGCAAGAGCGAAAAAGTAAAAATTATTTTTTGTGTAAGTTCGAAACTCTTAAAGTAAAACACTCGTCTGAAAGCAAACACTGAATTAATTTTACAGAAAGTAAAATAGAGAGATTATCTGAACTTATCTTGCGTAAATAAGCAGATAGCTTATATTATTTTTCAGTCATTATCTAAAATGATTGTTGTAGCAATTTCAGGCAACTTGATTTGACTTTTAAGAAATTTATGTTATACCAATCTGTAGTTTTTTTAATACAATCGTCTCAGTTTTAATAGCTGTGTGATAAAAGAAAAACTTAGGCAGGCCAAGTATACTACATACGATGATGGAAATATGTTATGCTCATCATATGCCTCTCTTACCCCCAGTCGTAAATAGTAAATAAACTAGTTGTACTACAGAATGGCACGGACTTTCTTGTAGTAAAGTTTTCTAATTTTCTTGGCTAGGACTAGCTTTACGGTCTTGCCCCATCCTCTTCGTAGGTACCATCTATCGACGCCCTTAATACATTGTTTTATAGTTTTCTCAATTTCCCCCCTAATGTACGATTCGAAATATTACTTATAGAATATTCAAGAAGAGTAAAACCTCGTCCTAATGAAATTTGAAGCCGTTTTTAAGAAAACGGTGTGTGAGCGGTACTGTAAATACGAAATTTGAAGTTCTTTTCTACAGGAATCTTTTCAAACATTTAATTTGAAGTCATATGAAGCAGTTCCTCCCACAAATGTAATAATGTATACAAATTGCAAAAAATGTGCATATTAACGGCGTGAGATATATTTAAAAAATTATATTTGTGTATTTAAAAAACAAATTAATACATCAAAATGAAATTTATGTGATCTTAAACAGTTCACATAGCATTATCCGTACGAAATGTGAAAAAAAAGAAAAGAAAAAAATGGAGCCGATTTTTTTAGTAAAATAGCATTTGAACGTTTCTCAAAATGTGGAATTTTGAGCTACTTTTCACAGTACATGTACTTGTAAATACCATAATGTGGATAAATTTGAAATATATAAATGTACATATACTATTGTAAATATTAATGATGTGGGAGGCTAGTAAAACTAATTTTTTGTAATTTTTTATTTTTTTATTACATAAGAAAATAATAGAGCAATATGTAGTTTGTCATCTTATAGTGTACATAAAGCACTATCTCTATCAAAAGTTTAAAGAAAAAATTTGGAGCTTTTTTCGAGGAAATCTTGTTTTTGTATTCTTTTTTTAAATTTCACATATTTCACGCAATATTGTCCGAAAGCTATTAAGTTTCAAAAAAAATTCATGACCTTATTGAAAGAACTAAGTATGGAGAACACATTTTATTTGAAGGAAAAATCTGTATCTTCAATTTCGTGTTTGTAGAAAGACGTCTAAAAAATTAAAACTTATGCTATTTTCGAAACTTCAGAGTTGATAGTGAAATTCAAAGTATGCCATCTTTATAAGTGAATTTTACTCTTTTCTTGCAAGAAATTTTTAAAAAATGGAACCATTTTTGAGAAAATTTAAAAAATGTCGCAGGAGCGACATGTAAAGTACTAAAAATTAATGTTTTTCAAAATTGCAGAGTTTCGACTTAGGGCAAACGCCAGCGGTTTAGTCAGTTTGAAAAAAAAAATTGAACGCGTAGTTTAGGCACTAGTGTTGTTACACATACACCTAGGCAGACGTTTTGCGACAATTTAGTTTTCGGTATCAAGGACTCACAAAACGGATTCTGGCTACTCCACGCGTTAGAGGATGTTCGTTTCTTTACTTAACAATTGGATTTAGCCACTTTTTCGTAATCAGTACTCGACAATTATTTTTTGGCGAAAATTCGCCGTTATTTTGCGCAAAATTTCATAACTTTCTCTATACTACGTATATCACTCCGTATATACGTACGTGCTAGTCGCGCGACCATTCTTGGCATATGATGGTTGGTGGAGGGCGCACGTGCCTTACTTGATATTATAGCTGGTGGCTGATGAAAGGGACGCATGCTTACCTGATAGGCCAGCTGGTGTATGAGGGAGGGTGCGCGTGCTTTTCTTCGAAAGGCAGCTGCCGGAGGGAGCTTGCCTTACCTGGAAGAGCCGCTGGTGCCCGACGGTGGGTGTACGCCTCGTACTTGATTGGACAGCTGATGGATGATGAAAGGTGCATGTCTCTCATCTGGAAGGGCGGCTACAGGCTGTTGGACAACACGCTTGCCTTATTTGGTAGGATAGCTGGTGCCTGAGTGGGCGCATGTGCCTTACCTGATAGGGTACTGGAGGCAGACGGAGGGCGCGCGTGCCTTACCTGGAAGGGCAGTTAGTGGCTGATGGAGGGCGCGCGTATCTTACCTGATAGGATAAATGGTGAGTGATGGAAGGCGCATGAGTCTCACCTGGAAGTGCAGCTGGAGGCTGACGGACGGCGAGCGTGGCTTAACTGGAAAGGCCCTGGAAACTGACGGATGGTGCGTGTGCCTTAGGGCCCCTTCCCACGTGCAGCGGTCGTGCGCTGCTGCGGCAAGCGGCGGCGGACTCTCGCTACGCGAAGCGGAGGAGGGCGTACGCGCCATCGCTAGCAGAACAAACTTGGAAGCTGATGGAGGGTGCGCGTATCTTACCAGGTAGGATAGATGGTGAGTGATGGAAGACGCATGAGTCTCACCTGGAGGCTGCTGGAGGCTGACGGAGGGCCGCGCGCGCGGCTAAACTGGAAGCGCAAACATTGAGGCGATGACGGAGGGCCTGCGTGCTACCATGCCGAAGGGCAGCTGGTGGCTGATCGGAGGGCCCGCGTGCCTTAACTGGAAGGGCACTGAAGGCTGAGGAGGGCCCGCCCTGCCTACACTGGAAGAAGGCAGCTGGGGTGACGGAGGCCGTTGCGCGTGCTTACATAACTACTGTAGGAGGCCGCTTCAAAGGCACTGGCTGACAGGGTAGGCTCGGAGAGTGGGCTGACGGGAGGGCGTGCCGTGCCCTTTCCAGGAAGGGCAGCTGGAGCGGCTGACGGAGGGCGCGCGTGCCTTTCCAGGTAAAGGGCAGCTGGAGGCTGACGGAGGGCGCGCGTGCTTTCCACGGACGAGGCAGCTGGAGGCTGACGGAGGGCGCGCGTGCCTTACCTGGAAGGGCAGCTGGTGGCTGATGGAGGGCGTGGGGAAGAGGGCGAGGATCCTGGCGGCGCGGGCGCCCGGCGTTGGCGCCGCCGCCATGAGCGCGCCCGCCGTCAGCAGCGCGAGCGGCAGCGGTGGAGCCACGGGCGGTCGCATGGTGAATGGCGCGCCTGCGCCGCGCCGCTCGCTCTTGTGCGCGCAGTCTACGCGCAGTCTTCGCTCGGCCCGTTGCGCCGCGTCGCTCCTCCGCGTCGCGCCCCCGCGGGAGATCGCGCTCGCAATGACGCAAGTCGCCGCTGGACTCCCGGCGAACGCTGCCCACGCCACGATGCTGCGCTGGGCACCTCCAATCTCCCATCGTGCTGCAAACTTCTGGAAAAACCGGGGAAATCTGGAAAACACAGCGCGATGCAGAAAATAGGAAAATGCAAAGAAACTGCTTTTGACGTAAGAAAATGTTTCATCCTGAGCGAAAGGAAACAAGGGTGTGTTGTGACGCGCAAAGAGTAGGGAGGGTGTGCGGACGGTTCTTTAAAAAACAATGTGTGGCAATCAGCAAAATTATAAAATATATTTGTAAAGAGAAGCGCACCAATATTTGCCACTTCTGAGGAGATGGTAATGAAATAGTAGTTTATGCAATTAGTTTATAATGGTAAGCTTTTTGAAATGTTTTGAAAATGAGCGACGTAGGAGCGACTCTATACTGTCTCCATACGCCTTCGTGTTGTAAGTTGATATGTTAGAAAGTGAAATAGTGTTGGTAAGAAGTTTTGCATGAACTAAAATAGCACACGTGCAAAAATTATGATTATAATTAATTTATTAATAACGTGCATTTCTCGTACACAAATGCAAATTTGGAATGAAGTATCTTTGTTTTAGACGCTCAGGTTAGAATAAATCATAAAAAAATCTCTCATTTTGTAGATTAAAACATAAAATAAAAAACTCATGTTTCTATGGAACACAAAAATCGGAGTTTAAGACTCCGAAATGCATAATTTTCGAGCTACGCACGATCGTAGTGTCCTGCAGCGTGTTGTGGTTGCATGCGGATGCTAAAATTCGGTCATCATTTACTTTTCGAGTATTGAATCCGAGTTGTGCCGGGTTGATCGAAGAATATTCATTTTGGAAAAAATCCTACGAAGAGTTTATGAGTTAGTTTGTTTACAGAGAGACGGACGGACATTTTGAAAAAAAATGTCGGTATCAGGGACCCCACAACGCATATTTCCTTTAAAAGATCAAAATTTTTCCGTAGCATTATATAACTAGGCATCACCTGTACGTATTACTCCATGTATACGTATACCTGAATGTAAAACCATTTTTCGTTGTTAAAAGGTGCTTTAACTTAGGCGAGTTATGAAGCTTAAGTGTATCCCCCGATAAGAAGGTAAAAAGTTCTCCTAAACCAAATGACATGTGAGTAGTCACCCTTTCAATGGAAAATTTTTTTTACTTCATCAGAGTCATTGCATAAATTGTTATATTTATTTAGTTTGGGGGCATTCTTTACAGTCAGGCACGGCTTAATCTTTCTTACCCTTAACTTGTCTGTGTTGCGCGAATAAGGTTCAAGAACGTCCCTCATAGGTAAGGTCACGTGTGCATTGGAATTTTCCGGTAAGTCGTAGAGTTGCATAGGGACGAGGGAATTTAATTGGAAATTTACATTTCACATACTAGTATTTAATACGGCTAATTCACGCACGATATTACTTTTAAAAATCCTCAGAATCCGTCAAATACTAATTACATTTTGTTCGTGCTCCTAGTGCACAAGTCAGCGCCTCCTCTGTTGTGATTGATATTGTGATTCTCGATTTTGAGTTAACGTACTGTGATGGGTTCATTTCTTATGTCTTTCTTCAGCATAAGCACAGAAGCTTGAAGCTTGCAAGCTTTTAAGTTAACGTCTTACGTGTTATGCTTATGCGAACGCATTGTGAATGAGTCCGCTTGTGGCTGTAGTCCTAACTTTAATGTTACCACCATGTTTATGCTTATGTTTATGTTTGCATTGTGAAAGGGCCTTAACGGTGCTCTCACGGGGTTGCTCGCGACCTCGTGATGGCGTCGGGCATCGCAGTCAGCTCGCTGCACGTTGGCTGGCAACTATGCTTCTCGGGTGCGGTAGGGGCGCCACGTTACTTTGCAGCTTTTCCGCCTTGTCGAGGGAGTTTCACATCGGTGATGCGTGATCAGCTTCCACGGACATATGGTTGAGGATCTTCGTTCTGAACAGGCTGTGTTTCACCCCTCACGAAACGTAAAAGATGGCGGCAATGGTACACGTTGTACCTCTTGATGGAGTACACCGCTCTCTTGAACATGCGGCGTATGCGAACAATGCGGCGGAGTTTGTACAATTTAGTTTTCTGTGCTTCGCACGAATGCGTTTACAACGTCTCCACACCAGACCTTGTTTCGCGAAAAATGCGTTCTTGTACTATATTGTGTAACGTTTAGATGGAGAGTTTTGCCCTATAACAATGCCAGCGCCAGATCGTGGAATGAATGACGCATTTAATCGAAAATTGGAACGTGAAAATTGGAAAATTGGAAAGAATATGATGGACATGAATTTGGCCAACCAGTTCGAAAAAATGTATCCCTTTTAAACTCCCAACAGAAGGAAGTGTGTGATACATTAATGAAGGCAATTGATGGTGGAAATGGTGACTTACTTTTTCAAGTTGCCCCCGGTGGAACTTCCTCATGCCATTAAATTTGACCACTGTTCGTGCGAGATCCGACACAGCGGTTGAAGTTGCTTCTGAAATACTGGCCACATTGTTAGAAGGATGCCATACGGCTCATTCAGCGTTAAAATTGCCGTTAAACCTTCAAACTACTGAACAACCGACATGTGACATTGCAAAACGCTCCGCAATGGCCAAAGTTTTAGGAGTATCAAAAGTCATCCTCTGGGTCGAATGCACAATGGCGCACAAACGCGCATCAGAAGAACTTGACCGAACATTGAAAGATCAGCGCAACGACTCGAGATGTTTCGGAGGCGCAATAATTTTACTGTCTGGTAATTTCCGCCAAACACGACTAGTCATTCCAAGATCGACTGCTGCCGATGAAATAAACACTTGCCTAAAATCATCAAATCTGTGGCGCTATGTGAAGAAACTTCAGCTGGCAGCAAACAAGAGAGTGGCATTGCTTAACGATCCATCTGCTGAAGATTTCTCCAAGCAATTACTGAATATTGGTAATAGCCGTGTTTCTGTCACCGAAGCGAGCAGATTGATTTCATTTCGTTCAAATTTTCATAATCAAAATACGAGCTCGTCAAAAAAGTATTCCCGAACGTCAGTGATAACCACAAAAATTACAAATGGTTCAGTGAGCGAAAAATTGTGGCTGCTAAAAATAAAGCGACCAAGTGAATGACTTAAACATCGTTATTCAGAATCAAATCGTTGTTAATTTACATTCATTCAAATCTATTGAATGTAACAACAGACGAATCCACAAACTATCAACCTGAATTTTTAAACTCATTGGATCTGCCTGGTTTATCACCGCACCATTTACAACTAAATGTTGTCTCGGTAGTCATGACGCTTCGAAATCTAAACCTATCAGAAGTATGCAATGGAACGCGTTTGGTGATTAGAAAACTGATGATTAATGAGATTCACGCGACGAACCTCAAAGGAAAATTCAAGGCTGAAGAAGTTCTCATTCTGAGGATTCCGATTAATCCAACCGACATACCCTTCGAGTTTAAACAAATTCAATTTCCTCCTCGCCTTGCATTCGCCATGACGATTAACAAATTCAGGGCCAATTCTTGAGTGTTTGTGTTCTGAATTTACAAAATACATGTGTTTTCATGGTGAGTTGTACGTGGCATGTTTACGTGTTCGGCAAACCATCCGCTTTATTTGTTCTTGCGGCTGATAACGAAAGAAAACAGGGTATATCACAAGGTGCTTCACTGAAGAGGATCAACCCGACTGCAATCTATAAAGCAAAATACATAGCTTTAATAAAGCTATTGTCTTGCACACGTAATTTTTATATAATATATATATATATATATATATATATATATATATATATATATATATATATATATATATATACCGTGTTGCCCGCCTAAGGATGTTCCCTTCAATTTTCTCCTGAACCTGAGAGGATACTTCCAGATTACTTTAAGAACATGGCCTATGGGTGAATACATTGTTCTCCAGGACTGAGAGGAGGTGTAGTCTTAAAGGAGCAAATCACGGGTTTTGCACATTGCATCACTACATTTACCGAAGCGTCGACGCAACGGAAGGGAATGACCTCGCCGCATATCAACCGGAATTTCTCGTTCAGATTACGGAAACCTGCAGTCGGCGTGCGTCTTTAAAACTTAATTTCTCGAAAATTGTGTTATGTAACATATGGCGATATGCATATTTATGAACTCGTCTCTTCATGCTTGTTATGATGAGTTAAAATATCTATAGGGTTCCATTTAAAAAATCGACGTTGAGTCAATATCTCTGCTATAATAAATGCAATAGAAAAATATTATACATGAGCATATGTGCCATATAGTAGTTTTAGTGAAAACCTCATCTCAGTGTGCAACGGTTCTGGAGAAAATTAAAGGGAACATCTTAGGTAGGCCACATATATATATATATATATTTGTTGAATTGTATCTAGATAGTGTAGTTGTGTCTGGCACGAAATAGATTTTTCGCAACGTTGGAAATAACCATGTTTTAATTTCTTTTTACCTAATGATTTCTATTTACTGACTGACCAAGCCCCGTTAACCTGAGTTCAGTTTAGAATACTGTAAGTTAGTTTTATATCGGCAGCTTGATATTGGTTATGAACTTACTGGGCATGTAATGAGAAATAGTAGAGAGCTATGGTTAGAGAACTATATCTTTTCGAGGACTGTTAACACTGATTCTGAAGTAAATAGCAAACCCCATTAATAGCTCTTCCCCATTCCATCCGACCTGAAAACAACTACATAACACACCTTTAATCTCGCCCTCTGACCACGTTCCCCTCCTCAAACACTTCATTCTATGTCTTCAAAACTCTTAATTAGACGTTCAGATTCTTTCAAAATCTTGAGATGTTTTGTATGATGTAGAAGTGTTTGAATTCTCCGATCTGCTTAGAGACGTATATGAAAAAATGCTACAGGGACATTACATAGAAATCACATTATTTTCTACAGAAATAAGCGCCATTTAGTTTACTTGACCCCTTTAACGATCATTGACGTTACTTGACGGCTAGGTAAAATATACGAAGCATTTAAAAACTGACGAGCACGACAAAAACTCCACCTAACTCTTGTGCCACGCCTACAGACAATAATAGTATGAAATAAGAAATAATCAAACCAAAACCATAATTCAAAGTTATAATATTAATTAAATCATTAGTTACATTAGTTTACATTAATATTATCCGTTACAACAACATTCACTAAAAACTTGAATTGTTCTGGTTTGATTATTTATTAATACATACCTTCTACCACCAGTGACTTGACATGAAATAATTTTCATCAGTTTTAGGCGGTTTCTTTCGATAAGTACTCAACAAATCCCACAATGGAGAGCAGTGCAAAATTATACATTCCGAGAATGATAACGGTTTTCATGTTCCACGAATGGACCATTTATAAATTCGCCCCTTCTTGGAGTTTCGATGAAAAATGTACCAGCGCTATCCTGTCAGTGGGCGTGAATCACTGTAGTTTTGACAATGACCCCCCGACAGTCAGACACTGCCCTATCGTTAACAGTTAATAGGGCATACTTAAGCGAGCCAAAGTAAGAGGGGTTTCCATAGAGTCAATTTCGCAGTGCTTCTCAACGATGAATTATTTCGAGATGAATAGAAATTATTATATGCGGACTCAATATAGAATTAAAACCTGTACAAGTACATCCTCCCTGAAAACCCACTGAAACTGAAACTTCAATGAGAAATTGGGAGAGCAAATAAACAGGATGTGTTAACATTTAAAATTTTACATGAAAGTTGATTTTTTTAAAATACAGTTTTGACATTTATTGAATGAATTAAAGCAGTTGAATCATTTATTTGCCAATAAAGTTCTCCAGTTTTCTTATTACAAAGTTTGAACTTTTAATTAAGGGTCGATAAGGCGGAACCCAGGATTTTTAGAGCCACCCACCATATGCGACTACTGTGACTACTAGAATGCGCCGCACACTGATCAATTTCACAGCGCCAGTTGCACAAAAATGCAAAAATCAACATTCTTGAAAAAAGCTAACATCGATATTACTTCAAAGTACAGAAAAAGAGCACAAAAATAGTTATGTCATGAGTTTTCTAAATTAATCTTTAAGAACGGAGCCGGAAAGTTAACGGCGAGCTTTCTGTTATTTCTAGTTCATCGCTTATTCAAAATAAACGTTTATCACTCTCATGAGTTAAAAATTGTCATTACTTTCTATTTTCTGTAGCAATGGTTGGTGGTAGTGGATGCCTTGTTTGTGATCAAACAGTTGAATGCTTTATCTTCTAATGAAAGCTGATTGAGAAAAAGTCCTAGAATTTCAAAGAATCAGAAGATATTTTGGCCAGATGACATTCTGGAGAAAGCAGAATCTGCAAGCTCTAGCTTGATGGCTTCTAAATCTGTAACGACTTGTGAGAATGCTTATGATTTATTTTGTTGTTGACGAACGAAAAGGCATGTTCGAGGCATTAACGAAGAGATAGCATACATGCTAACATACTAATTTTAATATATCTGTACAAAAATAATTGTTAAAATAATTTTGTTTACATTTATTACCAAAAATTGTTTTGTGTCGTCATATTTATTCCAAGATTTATGAGCACCGATAAAATCTAAATCCGAAAGTCCGCTAAAATATTTTAATGGTCTCACAGGCACTTAAATGACCGTTGCTATGGACGCGCTGTTAAAGCATTGTGTAGGTTGTTGGTTGCTAAGGAGCTAAGTGCATGTTTACCAACGTAAACAACAAAACATGTGTTTGAGAACACAGTCACTGTAATAGGCGCGATGTGGCAACAACCAGAAGTCAACCGTCGGTGCGCCTCCGCCTGAGCTATCTCAATTCGCAATTCGGAAAGCTTGTGAATGAATGTGTGTACTATTCTCTGCAAGCTTAAATTCGATTGTGTGGACATGAAACACTCTGATGTAGGTGTGTTGCTCTCTGGTAACACATTTTAGAAGGTATTTCCCAAAATTATACTGGTAAAAATCTAAAATAAGAAAAGAATTAAGTCAATGCTTCACTAAACCGGGTTTTGAACAATACAAAGTTTGTGTATCTCTACAAATAGC